ATCACCAACTAGCTCCGATACCAAATTGCAAGGAATATGAGTGTGAACGATATACAGAAAACCAAGTTGCGAAATCACACAGATGTCCAAGTAGTCGTGTCCAAGCAGAGAGTACAAATGCACCGAGAAAACCATCCATATAGAGCAATACAATGAAATGATGAGTCAATGTCCAAGCCTGTAGGTCACACCAACACAGTATCCAAAGTCGCTCTTCTCTGTCTGGTGCCCAGCGCCCAGCCTACTCTGCCCGACTATCCTACCTACAGCTGGTTCACGCAACAGGCTCACTTCGACTCTCGAAGACCAATGTACATGACTGTCAACTCCATAGCCGACCTCTCTTCATGCAACAGGTATGTATCTCGTCACCCTCAATCAGAACTTGATTACCCCACACTCGCCTCCTACCCTGAATACCACTCGATCGCCCGCCTTACCCCCTGGCGCCCGGCAGCCCGGCTATGGCCGCCTGCGCCCCGCTGCCCTGCAGCGCCCCACTTCACCACTATGCGCCCCGTCAGCGCCCTTGGCAGCAGCGCAGCATCAAGCGAGAGCGCAGCAGCACTTCCGCATTGCCAGCACTGGCCAGAATACCTGGTGTGGGCTGCCTCACTTCTTTTATGGAAGTGGCAGCCTCCTGGATGCTGCGTATGGCCTGGCTGGAAGCTTCCAGTAGCTTCCAGTTGGGCCTCAGACCATGTGCCCAGGCCCGAGACTGCAGTTGAAAGCCTGGGCCCTTTTCAGTTGGGCACGGCCTGAGTCTCCGGACTTGGGCTGTTTGCTGCATCTGTGCAGGGCTCCCAGGCAGGTGCGTCGGTGGTACTGCTTTTGCAAGGGCCGATGGCCTGCTTCCCAATGTATCGGCCCTGCTTTGTGTATATGTGCCCAGGCGCAACTGTCAAGGCCTGGGCCAACTGTATGACACAGGTTTGTGAGGCTCACGCGACTATCCAACCAACTGGCGTGCTGCGAGAGCGTGAATACCCACATATGGAAATGTCGAATTTTGCCTCTGACGAATATTCAGGCCCTCCTTCACTTAGGGCGGGCACTTGGCTTGCTGGGGGGCTTAGCCCAGATCATGTGATGTCTGATAGGGCCCCTTGAGGGCTTGTTCCTCGCACAGCAATCAGGACCTGGAATTTGACCCGGCAGAATGGGCTTGGACACAAGGAAGGAACAAAATTGTCAAGACGGATACCCACATACAGGACTACTCAGTCAAACTGGGCTATAGGTTATTCCTTAAAACCAAGGACCTGGACCCCATAATCAGAAATAGATGGTCCAAACTAATGGGTCAGGACGCCAGCCAGATCCCACAAATCCCATGGAAAAAAATTAAATCAATCAGACCAGTGAAAATTAGGAGCCTCCAATGGCTAACTGCTTACGTGGCCTTACCGGTTAATCAATGGCTGCACATCGGGAGACATAAGAACGATCCCAACAGCTCAGATGTATGTACAATATGCGCGGATAATGAACCAGAAGACATGCTCCACTGTCTAATACGTTGCAGAGAAGCAACAGAGTACTGGGCCTACCGGGTTTCTAGAAAGCAGAAAAGGACAAAACAACAAAGGCCGAACGGCCTAGCTGCTAAGTAGAGGCTACTAACAACACATACCAACTTCAGGTCACAGGATCAATTCCCGCAGGGCTCAAAACAAGAAACAGCAGACACAGCCACATCTAGTTAGTAGACAGCCCGCGTGAAAAACTGCAATTCATTGCACTAGTGCCCGCAAAGGAGATGCTGGTATACACAAGTCTATGAGAGTCCATCCTGAGCGGAGCCAAGTATGATAAACTTGAAAGTTGAAACTCAATAATAGCCCGACTGATATCCCCCAAACACGGTCGACATGAACATCAATAGCAATAGTGTCAGGGAGCTGGCAATACCGAACGTGTTTCGGGCGGCCATCTGTCCTGGCCTCATCTGCATGGTTTGGGAATGAGAGAGTGAGAGGAGCAGAAGTGAACGCTTGTATAGGCTCGAAAGTAGCCATAGGAACGTCCAAGGTACCAAGGGAGGGTATGGAAATGGTGACAAAAGAAACATTAGGAACTAGTGTCCAAGGATGTAACACTTTTGGAATAAAAGAGTTTGCTCCTGAAAGCTCTGAGCGCTACCACCACAGGTTAGCGCTAATGCAACTACGTGAGTGAGGAGGCGGGTGCTGTGTTTTGCCAAGCGGGATGCCCTGGTGCTAACCCGCATCGAGCGTGGAGGCACCGTAGAGCAAATCTTTGCGGCAAAGTTTCCGACCAAGTGGAGGAGGGAGAAGCGGTGCCATGCCTGAGGGTTGGTTTGGAGGGAAGCCATAGCCACAGACATAAAGTCTGGTGAGGAGGAGAGAATGTGAAGAGGGGTCTACTAGAGAAAGGAAGGCGGGGGGAGAGGAGACTCTGAGAGGTAAGGAGCATGGAGGGAGGAGGAAATAATAAGATGAGAAGAGACAATGAGACTTACAGCCAGACGTTGGAACAGAGAAAGAAAGGGAAACCACGGTGAAGGGCATGGAATGAAAGACGGGATAGCTGGATTCAGGAAGAGGGATGGCAAGCTGACAGTCAATCCTCCAGAGATCTGCATTCTGGAGCAATCAATGCTGTTCAGGGGTATGGAAGGAAATGTGAGGGTGTTCTTGATGTACTTCTGACTTGCCAGTGGAATAGGAACCGGACAGATGCTACCCAGAATGGATATGGAGCCAGGGCGAAAAGGACCTGTTTTATCACAAAAAAAAAAACAGGAAAAAAAACATGGTAACCAACCGAACGTCCGGACCGGGTTCCAGACAGTCCGGAACAACATGTCTGGGTCTGGTGTCCGGTCCATGCAAGGCACGAGCAATTTCAAAGTGGCCACTTCGACGTGCCGCGCGCGCGTGTGTGTGTGTGTGTGTGTGTGTGTGTGTGTGTGTGTGTGAGAGAGAGAGAGAGAGAGAGAGAGAGAGAGAGAGAGAGAGAGAGAGAGCACTGACAGTGCTGCCAGTCTGAAGACTCTGACGTTCTGAATTGAACTGCAAAGTTCGAACTTTAAACTTTAAAGTTATATGAACTTATGAACATAAATTACTTAATTCAAAGTTCAAACTTCAAGTTAATCATACTTTTTAGTCTTTTTTCAATTTTCCCTCCTCTGTTTCCTTAGTCTAGTGCCTGCTTTGCACTGTTTGCAACTCTGCATGTCTGCTAGTTGAATGTGCTTGTTGATTTGCTGCGAGACAGGTGCTCTGCTGCCTGAACTACAAAGTGCAAAGCAGGTG